AATAGCTCATCCTGCACACGCTTTAAGAAGAGCTGACTCCACCATATATATCTGAGTTAACAAACATTTCACTTCTTGTGTTAACACTTCACAACGAAAGCGATGGGCGTTATACGAGACAAAAAAGCAGCTTGTGTCATAGGCACAAGACACACTCGAGTGCACTGCCTGACAGTTTAAATACCGCCTGCCTCATCACTGAAACATCTGGCTTGTATTCGGTGTCGGCTGCAAAAAAAAGTGCTCTTTCTTACAACTTAGTTCCCTCACTTTCCCCACTCATCAATTTTAAGAAGTATGCAAATGGCGAATTCCTCCGGCCTCACTAGGAGTCCACACAGTTACAACAACACGGCAATAAATTCTCATTAAGGCTTTCCTTCCTTGAAAGGAGAAATTGAAGTTGGGATATTCGTGTTTATAGTCCAAGGCAATTGGAACAAATGAGGAGATCTTGTGGAGGGAAGACAGGCTTCCAGCCTTAATCGTGTCCCCCACCCTCTCACCCGTCCACTGGCTCCATGGGGAGTGTCAATGATGAAGTCAGCCACGGGGAGCGACGGCCCTGCACCACTGTGCTCAGCCTCTCTCCCCTCTGACAGGCCCATATTTCACCAGACTCATTCTCCAACCTCCACTGTCACCGTTTCCTGTGCTGTCAGGGGGACGACTCCCATCATCAGATCGGTGATTTCACAGGCTGGTGGCAGCAGCACTCCCTCGCTCTAGCTGACTAACATAGCACCGCTCCAGACAGCTGGGTGACCCCTCCTTAGTAGCTGGCAGGGTGCTCTGATTCCTTTCATCATGCACATGTAAAGATGATCTAGTATGGGGATGCTTGCTGCATGGTGCCAATAGCTTTTGGGAGCTGCTGTATTTGACTGATTTTGTATCAACAGAAATATCAACAACATGAAACACAAAGTCTTTGGAAAAACAACAAGGGTGCAGTCCCAGCTGAACCTTTGTTGTAATACTACAAAACTGGACATTGTCAGAAGTCGCTTTGCCGTTAAAGGAATCGTTCGACATTTTAGGAAATACTCTTATTTGATTTCTTGCAGGAGCTGGATGAGAAAATTGATGCCAGTCTCATATTTCTCCAGTAAATATGAAACCTCAGCCTGCAGCTGGTTAGCTTAGCTTAGCATAAAGACTGGGAGCAGCTAGTCTGGCTCTGTCCAAAAGTAAAGAAAATCCAGACTCCTTGGCCAGGAGTAGTAACTTCCTGAAGTCGTGTCAGTGTGAGGTTGCCAGACAACCAGCAGAGACTCCAAGAAGTCACTGCATCAGCCAAGAAATAATTACCCCTTTTATATTTTGGTTTTTGTACAAATTAAACAAGCAAGATATATTGTGTTAAATAGAATGGCACTCAGAGAGGCCAATAGTCCAGTCTTTTATGATATGCAAATCTGCAAGCGCAACCACTATATAATGTCTGTATTACAATTGACTTCTTGCAATGTTAACGGAAGTGAAAAATAATTTGTGTATCTGATCTGTGATTCAGATCCTTTTTCAGAAGTTAATGGGTTTTCCTTGGCCTATACTTCAACCTACAAAGTTTTGTGAAAATTGGGCCAGTAGTTCTGTAATCCTGCTGACAAACAAACAAACAGCACCAAAAACATAACGTCCTTTTAATTGGCGGAGGTAATTAGTGAGCTTTAGATGTGCTGGTGTGTAGATTTTGTAACCTTTGTTACTTAGTAACTGCACTTATTCTTTTTTATGCTTTTAAGTTTTTATTCTAGTTTATTTTTTGAAGCCAGCTTGATCATTACCTACCCAGTTTGCAAAAACCCCAGGCTGCAGACGTACATTCACAGAGGCAGAAGTAAATGACTCACTCCCAGACATTGATTCCAGTCTGTTTCTTTAGGTCATTTGGTAAACTCAACCTAAACCTTGTTTTAGATTCTTGTCATGTGCTCATTATTAGTCTTTGTCAACTTTGTCTCCCCTAGACCAAAAAAGAAAACTCTTAACAAGTATCCTATACTGAATGGCAAAATGGCTAATGAGTCAGCTGGATTTCCTTGTATAAATTACTATGTTTGGGGAAATTCACTTCCTATTAAGCCCTCTTCCTCGTCTCAACTTTGTTACATTTTACCCGCAAGATATCTGAGTGAGCCTGTGACCTCAAAGAACTCTTTTATAGGAGACTTATTGGGTGGTGGGACCCCAGCCCCATGAGCAATGCATGACTCCACGTCTAAACACCTTTGTCCAGACGGTGTTGTGTCCATGTGTTTAACAGCATGAAAGGGCACTCTATCTCCATCCCTCCTGAGAAATACGGTAAAACAAAAAGGCCCTCTGTGTTCCCCAACCTTAGGTGTTACCGTGCCCTTTATGTGGACCTCACCTCCAAGGCCGGATCTGGAGGGGTGGCCGCTGCTCCTGAGAAATGCTTTGCCACCCCAGCTGCAATTCCAGTTTTGTGTCAAATGCTGTCACATTTAACACATTAATATAGATTAATAAAAAATAATATAAATAAAAACAGGAGTTAACACGTATAATTTAAAGATCTGTTACTGTTGTTTGCACCCCTGCTCACCTCCTCCAAAGGGCAACGTTTTAGGAGTTTTACCCGACTATGCAGCGTTTCAGCATCTGTCAGCTTATTGTTTTGTTTTTTAGGCCAGCAACTTTACTGTTTGGGTTCACTCTCCAAACAGCAGGCCACTTTCACTGAAAAAGCTCTAACAAAAAAAAACCTCTAGGAAACCTGCTAAACAGACAAAGTTAATGACTAGCAGGTCAACATAGTGGAGCATTTAGCAGCTGAAGAACCAGTTTACCAGTGTCACAAACAAGTCACTCAAGCCACTGCAGCACTCCCAACACAGGTAGAGACTATGTAAAGTATCTTGCTCAAGAGTACTTTGGTAACAAGGTTAAAATCTGTCCCTATTTTTGTGATATGGCTGCAACAACCAGTAGCCCACTGTAAACCCATGTTAAGACACAGTTGGCATTTAGGTCAGATCTGCATTTTTTGCTCTAGCCAGGATGAAATGTTTAAAGGCATGTAGTTGGATGTTTTTCCACCCATGTTTTACAAGTAGACAAAATCGAATTTTAAAAGGAAAGGCATCTGCAGAGTCTTGATTTGTTATAAATCAATGATTATATTTTGTAGCTGAAAACCAGTGCTGTTTACCTGAAGACTTTGCTATGACCACTTGTCACAAGAGATTTCCATGTGTATAGCAATTACAGTGTTTGTTGGTGGCTGCTGGTGGGTCCTCTGGGTATCTATATCGCTGTATAGTTTCATCTTCCTCTCCACAGAGTAATTCTATATCACTCTTACAACAGAGGGAGAGGCAGACAGAAGGAAAGAGGACATCCACAGATAAATCTATTTAGAATGTATTTTGAATCTAATTTAAGATGGTCACCTGCTCACAGGATGTCAAGGGAGAAATTGAGTTTGCCGTCATGTAAGTTTTAAAAAATGCAATTTTTGCTCAGGCAAGTAGTATCAGTCATCCTAACTATCTCATATTCTATATGTGCTTGTTCAGACTTAAATAAATATGTCACTTTGAAGAAAGATATAAGTCAAATAGTGCCCCCGGAGGACAGTCAGTGTGACTGGTAGACAGCCACAGAGAACCAATACTACCACCTGAAGGCAAATAATGTGCCTCCTATTTTTAATTTCCTATTTTAACAGTGTTTAAATGTGGCTGCAGTACCATTTGCTGTGTGTAATGTATTGGAAACAATTCAAAATCGCATTTTAATGATTGAGTACAATGTCTTGATTAAATGGGGCAAATAACAAAATACTCAAACAAGAAACAAAGAGGCTTCATACAAAGCAACCTCTTTGAACAACTGCAGAATAATAATATAACAAACTTTTTGCAATCTGTGGAAATTAAACTTAGCAGCTTGTCTGAAGATTTTATATAAACAATAAGGATGTTCATTATACTAAAATCCTTGATTTCAGTCTAACTATGAAGGTCATAACTGTGAAGTGGCTACAGTACCTTCACATATCAACATGATTTGTTTTAGGAAAAAACAAAACGAGACCTCATATTTTTGGGGGGCAAAAAAAGGTTAAAGACTTTATGGAAAATGCAGCTGTTATAGCTTCTCGAAAACAATAGAAACATGAACAAGGATTATTTCATGTCATAATATTTTAAGGAATATAAAGAATACAGGATGAGAAGTAAATATGGATTGTGGTATAGTTACCAGAGGTCAGAGAGAAACTCTATAAAAGCCCAGCTTGGTGGGAGGAGAGCGTGAGCAATGATCTGCCATTCACTACCAACTGTCTTTGAGGTGCCTTTGAGCAAGGTTTTTAACCCCCTCCAGTAGAGCTGCTTATCACAGGTTGCAATACCAGGCAGCCAATTGACCATAATGTACTGTAACTGTGTCAATGTGATGCAGATTGCTACTAAAATAGAGCATGCATGTCATAAAATATATTTGTTGCTATGAGTGGGTGATTACCTTGATTTCCATAGTCCACATTCAGTGTGATGGGGGAGGAAGAATGAGAGGGCAGGGGGGAGGGAGGGGGACACAATGAAAGAGAGACAGAGAAAAAGAGAGAAGCAGGCAATAGAGGGGATAAATGCAGACTATGATCTGTGAAGGATGAATGAAGGTAATCTGTATATGGTGGAGCTTTTTATTTCATACTAAAACCATCAGCGCCTCTCTGTGGTCAAACTGCCACACCGCAAGTTCAAAGTTGTCTTTTAAACACTGCATTTCACATAACAGTTTATAAAAGAGCACAGGCTACATTGGCATTCAGTACAAAACTGTCACGTTTCTAATAAACTAGAGGTGACTACAGCACATATTTCACTTTTTTTTTTTCTGAATCTACATAGAACCATAATCATTTATTTAATTCCTGTGAGGTAAATCATCAGTGTGAAGTAGACATGTCATCAAGAAGCTACACCAAAGAGTCAGCTTTAGCGTTTCAATTTTCAGTTTCTATTAAATCCAAATGAAAACTTGCAATAATACTGTTTCCTATTTTAATACAGACAGACTTCCTTTCAACATTAAAACATTCTTTCATTTCACAGTGCAATCCCTGATAAAATGCATAGAAATATGATTAAATTATACTGAGATCCTGTAAAGTAGCGTGATTTGTAATGTTACAATATTACATGTGATCTTTTATATAACTTTAAATTTAAAATACAAGAAAAGTAACTTTACATCCTAAACATTTTATTGTTCTAATGCACAATTACATTAGTGCATTGGTAAATACATGAAATAAGATAATACTAAATCATTGAATATCTATCAAAACATCAAAAGTCCCTGTACATCAATTGTTTGTATTTTTGAATAAACAAAAAAAAGATATTTTTCTCTTGTACAAATTGCTAGAACTGCAGCTCAACACAAAGAGCACATCAGCACACGGCTCTCATGGAGCCACTAAAGTAATACACATTCAAAGCTAGTTTCATTTCAATCTCCAAAACCGGAAAGAAACATATGAAATTATATAAAAGACAACAAATAATTATCATGCTCTTTAATGTAGGAAGGCGAAAACAAGCTTTCCACAGATGTTCAGAGCTATTTGTTGCCAAATGATGAAATTGCTTGAAATCGCTGCTGAATCAGTATTTTGGCCAAAAATGTAAAAAACTGAACAGTGTTGTTTCTGAAACCTTTTTTTTTAACTTAAAAATCAACAATATCGTGGGAAATGGTCAAATATTCTAACCCTGTTGCTCAGACTTTGGCATAAATATTGCGTCATTTCTTTGATACCTCGGTTTTGCAGAGGCTACATCTGGTTATCGTTATATTGTGGGCTGGAGTACTGGTCCTGCATGGCTCCAGTAGCTGCCCCCATGGCGGCCTGCTGGGCTGCTTCTTGCACATGAGGGTTCTTCCAGGCTCCTGTGGCCCATTCCTCCTGAGCTTTGGACATGCTGCCCCCACTGCCACGGTAAAAGTTATGGATCTGCAGACAAGATGGTATTGCAAGTTATTACAGACAAGCCTTCACGTGTGGAAGATAAGAGGTGTTAATTACTTTAGTTCAGGGCCCAAACTTTTTTCCTTGGATGGCTAAAACTGAAACTTAATGGTCGACCACGGGACAAAGGCAAACAACTTTTTTATTTATTGATTAGATACAAAATGGTACAAGTTGCCTTAATTGACTGACATCGTACGCAATGTGTCTTTCTCATAGTATGCCCATATCATGAAAAATAAGTAATAATTAATGATCCTACAAGTTTAAAGAATTTTATCTCACAAAAAATAAAACAGCATTTAGTTCTAATATTATAAAACTATTTTTTATTTTTCAACTTTCCCCCGAAGGGCACACTTTGGTGACACTGCCTTAGTTAACTTTATTACATAAAGTTTTAGAGTATTACAGCTAATCAGTAAATCTTTTTAGGGAATACTGTGTTTTAGGTACAGCGAAGGACTGAATGGAATTCATTTTAAACCTAACAATGTTGGTTTATTGATATGAGAGAAAATTAAACAATCAATCAAATTGTGGACTGACCAAAGGCTGTAAGACTATTTTCTACCACAATAAGGTAACTAAGATGCAACTAAAGACATAGTGGAAGTCACATACAATGACAGAAAAGTGAGTCAAATAGATTTCCTCTCTACATTTCCCTTTGTGGAAAAAAAAGTGAAATTCTTACCTTGGTGAGAGCAATGAAGGACAGTGAGGCGACTGCAGTGAACATGATAGTAGGGACCAACATGATCAGCGCAATAAAAATGTTATAGCTGAAGAAGGAGATGGTAGCTAACCAACCACTGAAAAAGACACAGATGACCATTAACACAATTTTATCAGAAAAATGATTCATTTTAGAATACGAACACAGCATGAACCATAACCATCTGTTATCGGATTGTACGGTGTCTCTCATCATGACACTACCACTGAACATCTGGATGTTAAATGCCAGTAATTTTGTGGACTTTAACTACTGCAATATAAAGTTTAAAAGTTTTATAGCTCATACATGAGGATAGCCAATTGCACATGGTGACATTTATAAACTTTATGGTGGCTGTCATAATATTAATTTCTGATCATCAGCCTGAGTCAGGTGACATTTTGAGGATCTCTTTAACAGCCTCTTAAAATCTAATAACAGGACTATCATAAAAGTTATATGAGGGCAATTTCTGATGTTCCATCACTGTCATGTTAATGAAAGCAGCGATGAAGGTCTTTAAAAAAAACCTAAAATGTTTAAGTCAAAGGTAGATTTTGTAGCCTTATTAAAATAATTTCTGATTGTTAATATTAGTTATTGTTGCATAGCCATGAATTAGCTACTTACAAACACTGGTAGAAATAACTTTAGGAATGACTGGTACTTGAGTTGCACTAGACTGACTGAGTCTAATTATGAGTCTTTGTACCTTGGTGTAGTGACACTTACTTCAGTATTTATTGTCTATTACTTTAGTAAATTTTTTTTCAAAATCAATGAATACAATCTAACATCACAAGAATTGCCCTTGACATAATATTTTATTGACATAATATGTTTTCTCCTCCTCAAGAAATCAACATCAAATGAAATCCTTCAAATAAAAGACTGATAAACATGCAATCTTATTCTCTCTAAAATATGAAAAACTATTTGAAACAAATAAATTCCATGCATTTTCAATATCTCACTCTTACCATACTCCCCATCCAGGGATGCCTATGCTTTGGATGATGCTGATGCCAACTTGTGCCATGAACACAAAAAAGAACTGCATAAAGTTGAAGGAGCTGTCACTCCTACGGAAAAACAAACAGATCAAAAATTATTTACACAAAATATATTACTACTCTACATCTTGCACTCGCATCTTATATCTTGTGTGATATTATTCATCCATCCACCCATCTATTATATACAACCGCCTATCCTTTCCAGGGTCCTTCTCCTTCTACGAGAGCGTGCCACCCCTACTTCCCCCCCCCCTCCTGTAGGTGATGAATATGTGCTTCTATGAGCTGATTCCTTGATCTTCACCATGACCCACATTCTGCATCAGGGCACCATCTACTTTACTAGACAAAAAGTCGGCTGTCCCTGACTCTGCAAACTGGTCAAGGAGCGGGAAGCGTACCCATGCTAGAAGATAAAAGAATGATTTAAGGTATTTCTTTTGGCAGCCCTTTTAATTGTGCTGCCCTTCGGTGAAGGTAGATTGAAGATGTTCTGGGTGCCCTTCTGCTTCCAAAGGGACTAGCTGGATCATTTATCTCTGCTGCCACTCAACACTTTAAGAGAGTGGAGGAAAAATTAGCCCTAGATGAATATAAATTATATACACCACACAGTAACTACGGACTGCAAAACGGTGCCATGTGGACCCAATGAGTTTCTCACACAGAAACTCTTTTTTGTTTTGCATCTTCACATAAAATGGCATTAGATGGAAATGCCCTGTGATCTACAGTAGTCCTCTACTCTACCAAAGTGAACTAAAATGTGTAAATTTTAGTGTGTGGATATGTAAAGAGGACAAAGGACATCAAAGGACTACACCAATAATCCCTGTAGTATTATTACAATATGCAATCATAATTGCTGTCTAAGCCGGTAATATTATGTTATTTGATAACATAGTATACATTGTATATGATACACAAGGATTTATGAATATATAATTATCGCAATAGGGGGGAATTGTACCGCATTTATCGTTGCTTCATATGTATCTTTAATGTACTGGATCGTTGGCAATGCATAGAGATGTGATTCGCATCAGCCTCAGTGACGGAGATGCACATCCTTAGCTGTGCCAGCAAAATGTACAGCTGTATAATGAGTTACTGCTGCAGCACTGACAAAATAATATTTTAAAAGTCAGTACATCATATTTGACTCACTTGAAGGCCTTGTAGATGGGCCTGAACCAACAGACATAAGAGCAGGGAGTGAACATGATGAGCCAGATGATAGCCAGTCCAAAGTTGGTCACGCCACCTCCACCAAACATCCAAGCAAAACACCCAATGAGATTCACCGCAAGAGTAGCACTATTCACTGTAAGGACAAAACAGACATACTGTATTTTAGGTATTGATCCAAAAAAAAAATCTATTGGGTTTATCTATTGGGTTCACATACACATACACATGCAGAGAAAAGATTGGAAAGTGGATATGACGGCACCCACATTAGTATAATGTGAAATATATAATTGCAATGCTTGACTCACAAGATGGCTTGTGTTCCCTGAATAGCCTTTTTCCGGGTGTCCTTGTCTATTAATTCTCAGTACTGTTATGAGGCTACAGTACTCCCCGCTTAAGTCACACTTAATTCTAATTGGAGCTCTTCGCTTTAGTCCCATCTCTCTTCCCTAAACTAGCAGGGAAGGCCAATCAGCTTCAAATGTCGGTCTATAGAGAAAAATGCTGAGTGCTTTACAAGAGAATTATGAGGCTAAACACAGCTGCAACATGACAGCTATTAAGGAACACAGTTATGTTTCGTAATTACACAACAGAAAAAAAATACTGTCTGGCTTCAAATGATTTTCACACATGAAATGAAAAAACATGCTCAGAAAACTTAAGAACAAAACAGCACAACAGCACTCAAAAAGAAAAAGCAATGTGTATGCCATACATGCACATTGTAGCATATGGCAAATGGCAAACCCAAATGCAGCAAAGACCAATACAGAAAACTGCTACAGAAAGAAAGAAATAATAGCACAATCAAGAGCAGATTGGAACTTTGAATACCTGCTTATGTTTATCGTTTACTAAAAACGAAGTCGCCTGCAGAAAGAAAAGAGTTTAGTCACAATGATTGATAGTTCAGAGTGATATATGCATATCTTATAGTGCATAAATGATTTCTTCAAAAGGAAAACATCTTCTGTTCATTGTACTGTGTGCTGACTGCAAACACAATGAAACTGTGGTTAGCAGCAGGTATATAGGAGTAGAGAAGCACTTCTGGACTTCTGGCTTCACCAAAAATCAGTTACATCCCTGCATCAACCCCAAAGCTTCACCTTTGTTTTCATTATTTTCACGTTACTCTACTGCTAATTGGCTTATTGCCCTATTCCTAATGGCTAAGTTAGTGTCATTGTCACTATGTAAATGTTGCATGCCTTCATGGACGGCCAGGGAGCTTCCAGACCAAAGCAATATCACAAATATCATTGTGCTGCTTGTTTATGGTGTGATAAACTTTGATGAAAGTGCTTCTGGCAAAAATTGTTTAACACAATTTCAACGTTAACTGCTCTGCTCAAACCAAGGCCATCTGGTCAGCGCTATGACTCATTAGCAAATAAACCAGTCAGGATAACAGCCAATGAAAATAAAATAAAAAATCTTTTTGGACCAAAGAGACCCTTGTAAACCACTGCCCTTCTGTTACATACTTCTTATCATGTGTTAACAACTGGGGAGACTTTTATAAGATCTCCAGGAACTTCTGATGATTTTTCTTTTTCTTTTTTAGGCTTCAGTTATTATATTGGAGAAACGGTCATTTTAAAGTTTCATAGGTGAAATTGAAGCTCTAAAGTTCATGTAGTTGTCAGATACACGTATTATGTAACATTCCACTACTACAGCAATACAATATCACTTTAAGGCACTCACACATCCACAGGTGGTACATTTTCTTGCACATGCTGCGGTGCTGTTCAGGGATCTCATCGAAGTCCTGGTAGAAGCATGGCTTGAGTGGAATGAATCCAGGCAGCGGAGGGAAGTTGGGCTCTGAGACAAATCATTTCATAACAGTTAGACATATGGCATATGGTGATCTTCTAGTTTCAAGTTCTTTATTGTCATACGCACAACAATTAAAATGAAGCACTTGTTGGCCGTCCAATTGTTAGATATCAGGCTCCAACAGTGCTCTTATGTATATAAAATATGAATAAAGAAAAATCAGTAAGAGGAACAAAATCTAATATATAATATGGTATTTAACTAAATATAAAATAAAATATAATACTGCGGTAGCTAGGTTAGTAAAATGTAAACTGTAATGTAAACATGCTGTGCAGTAATGTATCAAATTATATACATAATGCAAACAGGTTGCATATACTGTAATGGATAAACAGCTTGCAGACAAATAATAAAATAAATATATACTGAGTAAACAGGCTGTAAAGGTTGTGTAATTAACCTACTTACCTGCCATGTGGATAAAGTGTACAGCTCAGATTTCCTCCTTCTTCAGTCTTTTGGGCCTGTCAATCAGAAAGGAACTGCAGGTTAGGACTGTGGGTGCTGACTTATTGCTGTATCCCTTATCCTGTGTGGTCATTTTTCAGTTCTGTCCATGTGCGTGTCATACTGTAGGCGTTGGAGCAGGTCTTATTGGACCAGGACACACTTTATGAGAGGAAGGCTGCTGTAAGCTGAGCGTCCACACGTTCTGCCGGCGGATTTAATGTGTGAGCCCTCAAGGCACCGACTCACTGCTGCTGATAAGATTTTAACGACTGAATCCTTCCGGTTTCAGTCGAGCCACCAGCAAATGCTCACACACACACACACACACACAGGGAGACTGGGAACGCACACGCTGGTTGCTCCACTGGGTAAAATGAAGCGAGGTGCGAAGACAGTTGGATATTTCAGAGCGCTGGCTATAACTAGACAGGAATTACGGATTCCACAGGAAACATAATCTGCTTACCTCCTGCAAAGAGCAGCCGCCTGTCTGTTTAAAGTGCACCGTCTCCAGAAAGCTTCACTAGCCTGATGAAGAGTAGGACTCACTGCCAGCCAGACGATATCTGCAAGCAAACTACTGTGTTACACTATTATAATACTTTCTTCTGTGCAGTATGGCCAGAGGGATAAATCCTCACTACCCTTATTCTCGACCAATCACCGTGCTGGAGTCCGCTGTCACTTTGATTCAGACCAATAGGCAGATTACTCTAATCCTTGACGTTGTATTGTTGACCCAATCACTGTTTAGCACTCTGTCCATGGTGCTGAATCTGGCCCACCGACCGAGGTAAACAGTGTACCATTACACTGAAAACTACCAGCCTCATAGCTGAGCTGTTATTTCAGTAAGGATAGAAACCTTGTATCTACCGTGTGCATCTGAAATGAGTGACGCTCTCATACTTTTGTTTGTATTGTTTTGCACTTGTTGCTGTAATGAGCAGCAATGCATCTACTTTGCAACAGAAAAGAAATGAATAGATTATGTATATAGTAAGTTATAACATTATGAGCACTGACAGGTGAAGTGACTGAGTAAGTAACTCCTACTCTCCAGCAGGGGTTGCTGTTTCACTGCAGTGAGAGACTCCAGAAGAAAAGTGTACTTTAAACACACTAATTTGCATACCTTTGCTTGGATGATTAAGAAGGATCATTTTAATTGGTAGACTGAATGAAGATGTGTTAAGTCATCAACAAAAGATTATCATACACCCATCAGCCATAACATTATGACCACCTGGGCACCCTGGTGGTCATAATGTTATGCAGCCCCAGACCAGCAAACATTATGCAGCCCCATATGCAACAAACTGTGATGCACTGTGTGTTCTGACACCTTTCTATCAGAACCAGCATTCACTTTTTCAGCAGTTTGAGCTTTAGTAACTCGTCTGTTGGATCGGACCACATGGATCACTGAACCTTAGCCACACATTGCCATGTCTCCGGTTCACCGCTTTTCCTTCCTTGGAGCACTTCTTATAGGTACTGGCTACTGCAAACCGGGAACACCCCACAAGAGCTGCATGTTTGGAGATCCTCTGACCCAGTCATCTAGCCATCACAATTCTTTTCCTGCTTCTAACACATCAACTTTGAGGACAAAATGTTCATTGCTGCCTAATATATCCCACCCACTGACAGGTGCCATGATAACCAGATAATCAGTGTTATTCACGTCATCCGTCAGCGGTCATAATGTTATGGCTGATCAGTGTTTGGTATAGCAATAGTCAGGTGGAGTGCAGCAGGTCTCACAGCAGACAAACTTTGTGATATGCATCAGTGCTTCAACTGGATCTGGAACCCTAAACACAACATAACCTTAAACCTAATTCTTGGCATTTGACATTTTCAATATTGCTTTCTTAGAGTACATTTAGAAATACTGAGGTCTAAAATCTGAACTTTAGGGGGGCATGCATTAAACTAAAATTATTTTAAGTCAGTTATTTCACGACTTTGGTTGAATACCCCTTGAAAAAATACAGAGGTCTGGAGCTTGGTAACCTTAGTGATGGGTACAGTTATGGTATGCAATAAGATGTAAGGGTACATACAAATAATCATTAAACAAAAATATAATTCATAAATAAAATCTAAGAGCCAATACACTATGGTAATAACACCCAAATGACCAATTACCAATTCTGCATTGGGTCCACTGTAATTGATAAGGTGATTGAAGGATTACTTTTGTTTTGCCACAATAACACATTTACTAGATCAAGTTCACTCACTGAAAATAAGTAGAGAAATATTTTCTGACTTTGAATCATTAATGTCATGGCCTGGTTTTGAATAGCACAATTATCATTAACACCAGTTCTCAGTTATAATTTGATATTATGTAGACTGCTAGATCCAGAACCATCCCACACAGACCAAAACAATATACATTTCTGCACTTAACTAACTCCCTACAGTGGTGAGGCATAGTGAATATGAAGACTACTGTCCTTCAGCAAAAATCTTTACCAGCTATAATGGTGTTGTGGTGCTGTTTTGTAGTCGAGCCTGTGCTTCCACCTCCCTGTGGAATCATTTACATTATCATTGCAAATGCCAACCTACAGCACGGACATAATACTCCCAGATGAGGCCACATGGCTCATGCAGTGTTCTAACCCATGCAACAGAAAGTGTTCAACAATACAAATAAGGAAACAGACATAAAGCACAAATATTAGTCATTTAGTTATTTGCTAATGTAAATAAAGATAATATACCACCAGTGCTCGTGGAGTTGTTATTTCTGTGGGTTTCATTCAGAATTGTATAGACCAAAAACAGAAGATTGACTTTGGTCATAGGCCACCATTATTTACTCTGCTACACTAAAAATGAGTAAGAGCATAAAAAAGCAATTTGTATTGTAATTGGCTCCAAACTACTTTATTCTCCATCATAAATACTTTCTGCACTTAAAGTTTACTGGTACAAATGCATTGTCACAATTGTAGTTACAAGACAAGACAAGCAGATATCAATAACAAACTTTTTCTATATATGACAATTTAAGCTAAATTCTAATTTCAGAGTTTGGTAAACTCACCTTCGTCATCCCTCTAGTTGAAATGGAAAATATATCAGAATTGGCAGAAGGAGATTTGGGTTCTAAGAAATTAAATGTAAATAGATAAATTAATTAAATTAAATAGTGGTAAGATGATAAGACATCAATATTTACTTAATGTAATAATTTACACAAAATCAAGCAGAGAAGACATTTCATTGTTCTCCATTTTACATTTTCTGATTATCCTACCCAGGGTGTAATCAAGAATACTTCTCTGAGCTGAACAATGAAAAAAACGGGACAATGTGTGTGACTGCTGAGAATATAACCTTGCACACTTGCAAAACAAGGTTATATTTTAGATATTGAATAGCCCATTTAAAGATTCATACAATGAGTACATTTTGTTTCTTCATTAGATATATGGCTTTTCATCAGGTTAAATTTGTCATGCATAGTATTCTCTATGTAATCAACTCATTTACCTCACACCAATCAGTAAACTCAGCAGTGCAAGGTAGGTGCCTATGTAATAGTCCAATCCTTGTAACTTTAACAAAGAAATCATATTCTGATGACCATTCCTTCCTGCATGTTAAAAGTAGTAATATGATGGAAATGACGCCCCATGTTTTCCACCCAGTGTGCTACATGTATGAAAAAGGTAGCTTGAAGCGTCCATGCATCCAACCATCACATTTTTTAATCATTTATCCTGGTCAGCATCCTGGGCACTGGCCAATCCAAGCTTAAGCTTACAATGGGAAGAGACAGTTACACCCTGGATTGATCAGCAGTTGTGTTCTGAACTGGTGAAGAGACACCTGCCTGATACCAGAAGAAAGTACATTACAGTGTTGTCCATGCAAGAAAAAATACAGACACATAGTCTATAAATTAACTTAAAAA